TTCTCTCATAAATAACATATTTAATAATAATAATAATAATAAATACTTCTGCCTGTCTGAAATGGGAGAAGGGGACTCTTTTAAGTGAAATGACACAGACCTCAATTATACAACATACTGCAAAGAAATCTCCCGGTTTGGGAGGAAAATTCCCCTCCACCCCCATTCCTGGGGTTCACGGCCAGATCACAGAAGACAGTCTAGAAGGCACACAAGTCCAGCCCTTATGTCACAGAGGACTTGTCAGAAGGGGCCATTCCATCTACCTCCATAATGTCGGGGCCCTACTGGGGGTTCCCTGGTCAGCTTCAGCTCCACAACGACCACCCCAGGGACAAGAGGCCCTCTGTAGGCCTGGAGAAGGTGAGGTGACAGATGTGCTCCAGCTCCCTCTTCTGATGCTCATACTCCTTCTCTGCCAACTGGCTGTGCTCCAGCCAGGCAAGAACTCCCTGACGCTTGTCTTGTACCCTGTGCCTGTCCTCTTTGGAAATCTTGTCTCTAAGGCTTTCCTCTTGCCCCAAGCCCTTCACATGGAAGACACTGGCCTCTAGGGAGTTCTGGGCAACCACTCTGTCCCTCTGGGCCTCATCCTCAGCCTTGTGCTGCTCAGCCTCCAAAACCATCCTCTCAAAGTCCTCTTTGCTCAGCCAGCCCTTGTCGTTGGTGATGGCCATCTTGTTAGCCTTCTCTGGGCTCCTGACAGTAGCTGCACACTCAGGATGCCGTTGGCATCAGTGCCAAAGGTCTCCTTGATCTGGGGGACTCCATGTGCTGTAGGAGGGATACCAATGAACTCAAAGTGCCCCAGCAGGTGATTGTCCCTGTTGATGGCCCCCTCACTCTCATACACCTGGGTCAGGCCCCCAGGCTGGTTGTCTGAGTAGGTGGTGAGAGTCTGGGTCCTTTGGGTAGGGATGGTGGCATTCCTCTGGATCAGCGTGGTCATCACCCCGCCTGCTGTCTCCAGCCCCAGGGACAGGGGAGCCATGTCCAGAGCAGGAGATCCTGTACTTTCTCACACTCATCCCCCATCAACATAGCCACCTACACAGCAACCCCACAGCCACAGCCTCATCAGGGTTCACGCTCTTGTTCAGCTCTCTGCCCCCCAAGAAGTCCTGTCCACTAGGACAATGTCATGGATCTGGCCTTCTCCAGCTTGGCATCCCGCAGGGCCTTCTCCACCCAGCCCAAGGCGCTGCGCAGAACAGCTAAGCTCAGCTCCTCCAAGCAGGCTCGAGGGATGGACTTATAGAAGTCCACGCCCTCAAACAGGGAATGATCCCCGGAGTGGCCGCGGCGCGGGAGGTCAGAGGGCGCGTGGCGCTCTCACAGGCCGTGCGAAGCCTGCGTGGGGCCTGCTGGTTCCCGCTCAAGTCCTCCCCGCGCTTCCCACCGAGGTCCTTCATGAAGTGGCTCACCAACCTGTTGCCGGAGTTCTCTCCGCCCCGGCGAGCGTCTCCAGCCTCAGACGTCTGGAAGACACCGGCGTCCATAGTGAGGACCCTTACGGCGAGGGTGTTCCCACCCAGGGCGAAAATGAGCACGTTTTGCTCTCTGGCGCCCCGCGGGTCAGCCGGTTGGCGAGGGCGGCCGCCGTGGGCTTGTTGATGATCCGCAGCCGGTGGCGCCCCGCGATGGCACCCGCGTCACTGGTGGCCTGGCGCCTCGAGTCGTTGAAGCAGGCGGACTTGTCTCCTTCCCCTGGTCCAGCACAGTGGACGAGACCTCCCCGGGGTAGCAGGCCTTGTCCTGCCCGCGGTAGGACACGCGCACCCAGGCCTTGCCGCCCTCGCTCGCCCCCGGGAAGGGCCGGTGATACGGCCGCCTGCACCGCCGCGTCCGCGAACCTGCGCGCTGTCAGCCTCGTGGCGTCCAACCGGGCGGTGCGCGGGGCTCTCGGCTGCCCGCACCCTAGCGGCGCGGGGTCGGGGAAGGCCACCTAGCGTGGCGCGTGCCCCACGTCCACGCACGAGCGCGTGGAGCCCGGGTCCGTGCCCACGGCCACTTCGCTGGGGCGGCTGTCGCTGGGGCTTCTCGCGCTCACGGGACGCGGGCCTCGGCCTCCACGAGCCTGTCATTCCCCGCCGCCGCGCCGCCTGCCGGCCACCCGCCTCTGGCTCAGCATCGGGGAAAGTTCAGCTCCTCCCGCCGGTTCCAAGCGCGGTCGGAAGCCACTGAAGGCCGCAGCCCCGCGAGAGAACAAATGCTCCCGCTGGACGGTTGAAGAGGGCGGGTCCGACAACCGCAGCCGCGAAAGCCGACGGCGCGTGGCACTGTGCGCATAGAGCCGTGGCCTCCGAGCCAGGACTTCCTATAGCCTTTTTTATTGTTGTTCTTTTTCGAGTCGTAACGTTTTTCTGTCTTGAAACATAAAGGCGCTACTTTCTAAAGGGTGACTCAGTAAGGACCTGTTTCCCGCAGTGGAACGGAGCTGGGGAAGCAGATGAAGTTAAAGGATGGCGCCAGAAAAGGTTACAGTGTCAGCATTGGTGGTTCAGTGGTAGAATTCTCGCCTGCCACGCGGGAGGCCCGGGTTCGATTCCCGGCCAATGCAACGTGTGACGTTTTTATGTCGCACACTTGTTTGAACCAAGTCTTTTTCCGTTCTTGGATTTGTGACACTGAACTAAACGAAACCAGCTAGCTGAAGTCTTTTGTGTTGGTCCCCCTTCTTTACCAAGTCACTCTCCTCTGAGGAGCGGGGGGCCTGGAAGGAGGCGGCGCATGAGCTGTGGTGGAAATACCCTGCTCTTGAGACCTGTCCCTGATGCCCCGCTTGTGTCCCCAAGGGGCATTGTCCCAGAGGCTGGCTGGAAAAGCACAGTATGCCAAAAGGAGGAGACTTTTCGGAGACGTGAGTGTGGCAGTGGAGGAAAGAAAACAAAATGTCTTTGTCCTTTGCCCATTGGGGAGTGGGACCTGAGTCTCCCAGGTAGCAGGCAGAGACACTCCCTGCTACATTGACCAGGGCAGTATCTAAGAGTATGTGATACATTGCATGAATGTGATGCATTAAACTTCAGTAGTTTATTAAAGGAGCTTAAAGTTGACTTTTGTGTAATTCAAAGGATTCTTCTCAGAGGGCTTAACCTATTTTGTAGCCCCAGAAGAAAGAGGAGTTGTCTGCTTTAAATTCATTCATTCTTCAAGTCTAGGCCAGCAAGGCCTGGGTATCACATTTGGGGGTGCCTCAGTGGCTCAGTTGGTTAAGTAACTGTCTTCGGCTCCGGTCATGATCCTGGCAGTCCCTGGATCGAGTCCTACATCAGGCTCCCTGCTCAGCAGGGAGTCTGCTTTTCCCTCTCTCCTTCTGTCTCAAATAAATAAATAAAATCTTTTAAGAAAAGAAACCAATTTTTAAAAGGAGAAACAAAAAACGAACCATGAGAGACGACGGACTCTGAAAAACAGACTGAGGGTTCTAGGGGGGAGGGGGGTGGGGGGATGGGTTAGCCTGGTGATGGGTATTAAAGAGGGCACATTCTGCATGGAGCACTGGGTGTTATGCACAAACAATGAATCATGGAACACTACATCAAAAACAAATGATGTAATGTATGGTGATTAACATAACAATAAAAAATTTTTTAAAAAAGGAGAAACAAAAACCCGTGCTTCTCTCAGAGGGTTTAACCTATTTTGTAGCCCCAGAAGAGGAGTTGTCGGCTTTAAATTCATTCATTCTTCGAGTCTAGGCCAGCAAGGCCTGGGTATCATATTTGGGACATTTTAGCCAAGGGCCTGCAAGAGAAGGGTCCTCAGCTCAGGAGGAAAGGTGGCCTGGCCTTGGATCTGTGCCCTGGCCTGTTCAGAGACTGTCTTCTCCAGGCTCCTCCAACATTCTCTCCCAGCCCTCAGCAGCTCAAAGCCCCACCCATCCACCCACCCCCAAGAATTCTAGGGATAGCTAAAGCAAGCACCTCCATACCTGGACATTAACCACACAGGCGCTCTTCCAAAGTCTTTAATTTCTTTATCTTTTAATTCAGAAATGTTCCAATATACAGGAGCTTACGTTGCAGTGCTAACTTCATACACACACTTAAATATATCCACTTATGTTTAGTAACTTAGCTTGAGTATCTTCAGAAGTAGAACAGATTTTAAAGTGATAACTTAAATGGACATTATGAAGTGGGGGGAAGCTCAAGACCCAATACTGAGTGCAAAAGCCAAATTTTAAAGCAAAATGTATAGTACAATCCAAAACTGTATATGTAAAGGTTTCTAACACCAACTACCTGTATATCCTTGAACGAGTCATTTCGACCATCTGGGCAATAACTTCCTCAATTTTAAAATGAGGAGATTAAACTATGTCATTTATAAGGACCTTCTAGGTTTAAAATTCTGATTTCAAATGCTAAAGAATTTACTCATTTCACAAATATTTGAGTGCTTTATCATGTGCCAGACACTGACCTACACTCTAAGTATGGCAGTGAACAAAACAAAGGCCCAGCTTTCCTGGAGCTCACAATCTGATAGGAAGAGGGGTAGTCAGGCAATAAACAATTAAACAAATGAACATATGGTACATCAATTGGTATTGAGTACAACGAGGGAAAATAAAAGGGAGACGGAGATGGTGAGGGAGTGGGGTTATGGTGAATGATCAGGGAGACCTCATGATAAGGTGACATTTGAGTCAAGACCATGATGAAGCGTGATGTGGGTATCAACAGAAGTTCCATAAGCCCTGAACGGAAGGATAACTGGTGTGTTCAAGGAGGAGCAAGATCATGTAACACCTTGTAGAACATTGCAAAGCTTTAGCTTTTACTCTCAAGTGTAAGGAGAAGCTATTGCTTAGTGTTAGGCAAAGAAGTGACAAATACTACACACATTTTATTAATTTATTTTTAAGATTCATTTATTTGACAGAGAGAGACACAGTGAGAGAGGGAACACAAGCAGGGGGAGTGGGAGAGGGAGAAGCAGGCTTCCCGTGGAGCAGGGAGCCCAATGTAGGGCTTGATCCCAGGACCCTGGGATCATGACCTGAGCCGAAGCAGATGCTTAACAACCGAGCCAGCCAGGCGCCCCTACAGCACACATTTTAGAAGGACCATTTGGGCTGTTGTGGTGAGAATAGACTTTACGGTGGCAAGGGTGAGCTTCGGGGGACCAGTCAGGTGCTGACTGTAGTAATCCAAGTCAATTGAGAGATGATAGTGCCTTGGACCAAGGTGCTAGTTGTCAGCTTGCTGGACTTATTTTGAAAATAGAAGCAGAATTTACTGAGTTTCCATGTATTTGAGGAGCCTCCATCTGGGATCTGTGAAAACACATTTGCTATGAGTCCTTATAGAGCTGGCTGGGCTGACTCTGTGCCTTGACCTTCAGAAATCCAGTGAGGGTGGGGCCTATGACAATTTAGCTCTGGAGATCACAGGCCCCTTGTTTTCCTTGAAGGTTAAAGGATGGTTGGAGTCTCCTTAGCCAGGTCGCTGCGGAGAGAGGCTGCGGGAGGAGGAAAACTGGCTGGAACAGAGGTTGCTGCCGCCACTGCGGTTATACCTTGGCAAGAAAAGCCATTTGCCCAGAGGGCCCTGGCTCCATTTGACTTTGCAATTCATCCAGGCTCTCTTTGAGCTTTGAAGGTCTCTCTACACAAAGATGGCCCCGTATCCATGGCAAACAGGAGTCCCATCACCAAGCAGAAGGTGATTTGATACCAAGGTGGAAAGATGAACAGAATTGCTAGACCTAATAGGAGATGCAGAGGGATGGGGAAAATGACGGTTGTTAAGGCAGAAATTTGGAATAAACAGTCAGGTCCCCTGTGGGGAGTCTTTGTGAAGTCACCCAAGCCAGGGGCTAAGGCCAAGGCCAAGAGCAGCCAGGTAGCCCAGGAAGTCTTCAGAGAGTCTCTTCATCTGTCTTTCCAAATAAAGCACTGGATCAGCATTTCCTGAAGGGTGACCTTGGGCACATCTGTTCTGAGGGACACTGATACAAGCTACGGAGGAAAAAAGATTCTGTGGTTACCTAGCTTTGGCAAATGCCTTATAAAACTTAGTTTAAAAGTTTTCTTTGCAATAGGGCTTCTTGGAGCCTTTAATGGGCATTATGAATATACAAGGAGAGGAACAGCGTAGCAGAATGTTCTGCATTATTTTTACCACGGAACCCTTCATTCCAAAAAGCCTCTCAAGCAGTTGTGTGACTGGGAAACAGCTTTTGGAAAACACTGAACTGGGAAATCCAGACCATATCAGCAGATTCACTCTCCACTTCCTCTGAGCTCAAGACTGGGTGGTATTCACTGACCAACATGAGTGAGAACAAAAGACCCCAATAATTAGACAGCAGCAGCTAACAAACAAGATGGGTTCCCTCAGATGAAGGGAAAGAAACTTAAAGTTTTAATCAGGCCGAATGACTGTGGGAAACAAAAGCAGTCAGTGTGTTAGCTTAGGCAGTTAAGTTCTAACAGGAGACCAGGAAGCAGCAGCGAGGAAGCCATGGCCAGCTATTGGGAAGGTCAGAGGCCTGTTTC